GGTATGTCTGTATGCCGAAGACATTTTTAGCCATCGGAAAATAATATTATCAACAAAATCTCATGTAAAAATTGCAGTGCTTGAATTACAAATGAAAGCTAAAAGAATATGTTTGAAATATTAAAAAAAAAAAAAACAATATTGTAGAATAATATTGCAGGAGATGCAATGTTAGTGAAGAGCAAGATATTTCTGCACATGTATTGGCTGTGGAATACAGGAAATAATTTTGTTGCTTCTGAAAACTACTATTGTCGCTTTGTAGAAATCATGAAAAAATAATGTAAAAAAACAGGTGGCAATGGAAAGGAACAAAATTATTGTCAAAAATTAATTCCGAATAATTTTTTTGTATATATATATATATATATATTTAGATTGCACCTCCCCACTTGTTTTTTTTCTGAATAATTATAAATAAATTACCTATCCCAATGCCTGGACAGACTTGCTACATCTGATCGTTGTCCAGTGAAGTCATCAATCCTGACTTTTGTCCAATCAGGACACACAACACATGCACAGCAATCTCAGAGATCCGCCAATCCAATGCTTCTATATGAGAAGCAACAGGTGTTATGTGTATGATGGTGCCGAGAGTAATGTCCTTCAAACTTGAAGGAAATAAGAATAGCTTCTAGTGGCTGTCTGTCTAAACATGGCTAAACTCTAAATGTTGTTGTTTCTCAGAAATAGCATTTTTTTATATTGTTGAAGTGCATATATCCACCAAAACCATCACATTAATATAAATGTGTTCCGAGGCTTGTCTTTCAGTTACTTATTGTAATTATAATGGAGGCTGTAAGAGTGCTATTGGTGCCACTTCCAATAAAGATCGAACCTGCACTCTTACTGCCGGTTAATGTGCCTCTTGACCAAATGCTTACCTTTGCAAAGATAAACTAATAGAAGAAGATGAAAGTGACAAGATTTTTCTTGAGAGAGAGAGTTAATACAAGAATAACATCATGGACAGCAGACGATGGTGAGTGAACGAAAATGTTAAAAGACAGAACTTGTAACACCACTGAGCAATTAGAAACAAGATATGATCTCAGTGAGCATAATGTATAGGGACATATCATCAGATTAAGTAATGCTCATAAAAAAACAGTTAACTGGGCAACATTAGGAGATTAGACCGTGGCTTATAAATTATGTAAAAAGGTATATACTTACCTTTATCCGGTGGCAAGACTCACTCAGTGCTGCTGGCTGGAGGCATCACTGGCTTCTCATCCAATCCAGTGCAGAAGCATTGGGGACAATATGTTCATGCATGGTGAGTGCCACACTTTTCCAATCAAATGCTTCTAATAGGGAATCAGTGAATCCGATGCTTCCCTATAATTCTCCATTTGATAACATTACAGAGATGGTGTGCTAAGCAAGGAAATAAGCTTGCAGGGCTAAAGTGCCAGGGCACTACACCAGTGGTTTGGGTGACTTTAGTGTTGCTTTAAAAAGTAAGCTGGTAACCACTGCAATTGACAGATAGCTAAATTATAACTGGGTCTTCAATTGATTATTGACTCTCAAATAAATAGACCAAGCTATACTATGATAAATAAGCAGATAAACACATTAATGAATAAATACATACATTATTTTATAAATAGCATGTTCCTTGAAAATCAATGTTAATTTTAAAGTGTTATATCTGTGCCATATTTTCCAAAATATTATTGACAGGAAAACTCAGTGGAGGAGTTTGGCAGACTCAGGTTTCTCCTCAATGAACTTTATATCTTTCATGCAGAACACTAATATCCATATCCCAATGTCTTTTATTGGTAGATGGCATTCAGAAATTTACATTGGGCTTATTTTACTACCTTATTATGTTTTAAAGCAGGGTTGTCCCCTAATAGTAAATGTGGTAAATGCAACCAGACTGCTTCATTGTTTATGGTACTGTCCTAAAGCGTCCATTGTAGACCACAATACATTCTTTTAATTCATACATTTTAGAGCTCGACTTCACTCGGAAGGGTAGGAATTTTCTAGGGCTGTTAACTTTGGAGGCTAATGTCTGAAAAACTATTCTTGACCAACTGCATTGAGGAAGCTTATCCCACTTTTTTGTAGTTACTCTTTCTTTTTTTCTTTTCTAATTCTTTATTTTTGGAGCGCAGCTCCATGATACCAGGACAATACATAAAGCAGGTATCATGGAGTGTAATGACCTAGATATGCATAACAGGTCAAGATATGCTACGCTGTTTTTTGTTGTTGAAGAGACAGAAAAAAAAAAATCAGGCTTGGTAAACAGGTCTTGTCAGAAATAAGTGTACAAGCTTACAAGACAATATACAATAGGCATTCCAGATGAGCAAAAAACTAGCCAAGCTATCGTAGGATCTATAATGCTATAGAACCGATGGGCATTAATAACAGAGATCTAACCTAGAGAACAAACATAAAACTATATAGGATGCCATCTTGAGGGTCCACTTATATTAATCATGCAATGCCTCTAATGCCTCCCTTCGCCCTCACCTCTCAGTACAGAGAGAGGCCAGCCTGAGGTGTTAGCATCAGGAACATTCCCATGTGAATGTCCCTCTTGCCACATCTATCTCAGCCCTCATGAGTAGATGAGGAATGGATGACCAGGGTTTCCCTCTGTCCCAGCAGAAGAATGAAGTGCCTGCAGATGTTTTTGCCTTTGGGTGTGTGGATGGTAGCAGCCTGGGCGCAGCTCCATGTGGGCTCCCAGCAAAGAAGACGGACATAGAGCTGGCGCGGCGTCTGATGTAGGCAGTGGTGTAGGCAAGGTAGGTACAGGTGTGCGATGGGCAACTTGATCCCAGAAGTTCTGGCATAGCTGCTCGAATCTTACCTCGAAAAGGTTCCCTCCAAGTCTGGCCTCTCAGACATGCTTGACTTAGGAGATGCTGTGTTGTGGCGGCCATCTTGGGATCACAGCGTTTTTAAGGGTGAGATGGGACACGGAGCCTTTGCGAGAGGAAATAGCTTGCCCCAATGGGAACCGGGATATCCCCCCTGCCCAGAGGGGGGGGAGAGAGGGATGAGTGGAGGTTGCCTTGAGTCAGTCGAGAGAGCGGCCACCTCCCCCAACAGACAAGCCGGCAGACTTTGTAGGCCACAAGTACGGATTGTGGAGTTCCGTGCTAGATCGATGCACAGCAGTGCCAGCAAAGGATTCTCTGGTTGTTAATCGGACTGCAGTGGGTTCCATTCCGTTTCGAGGGAATCTGCGCGTTGGAACTGTTTAATAACTCTGGGTTCCCGGAGCTGCTAGCAGACACGTCCAGCCATCTTAAGAGTCAGGCCCCGCCCCCTGTATTTTACTCTTGTGTATTAACTAGTTTTCTAAATATTTTGGTGTAGATGACCTACAATAAGGATAGGATAGTGTGATAATTGTGATAAAATCCAATTAACTAATTAAGAATGATTGATTGATCACTAATGAGCAAATAATCTATTATAGATAGTTAAGATGGCACTTGGAAATTCAACCTGTGTCGCACTAAGAAATTCAGCTACGATGACATTGCATAAAATTCTTAAACTGTGTCGCACTAAGAAATTCAACTTGTGTCGCACTAAGAAATTCAACATTGCCTGGAATATTCCATAGCATGTCTGGCCAATATCCAAAAAGGCCCACGTGCTGAACAGAGGGAATTGGTGCCAGCAAATGTATGGAAAGATAAGAGTAGGGACATAGATAGAAAAAGATACCGAACATGTCTGGCATGAGCCTTGGGTGGTCACGACTGGCCTGATCAACCATACTGATTACTTAATGCGCATGACAAGATACATGCTGGGCTGCACTGATAAGAAATCTTGGAAAAGTTACAAACTTGATAAAAAGTATAAAAGACGGAGAAACTTGGTACTCACTCAGAGAACTACCCACCTGTAATGCGGACACGTGTTGCTGGTCTCTGCTGTTCCCAGAGAGGGTCCCTCCAAACCGACTGCCAGAGTTCTCCCCAGTCAAGTGCAGAGGACACAAGCCCTTCTAACGGTGATGTATACTTACGCTGATATATCTAGATACTAAGCTGTTTTGAAGTGAATGCATGCAACTACTTAAGGAGAGTTAATCTTACTCTGTATTGGGTCCCCTTGTGGACAATAAAGTGTGGTGTGAATTCTTATCTGCAACTTGGTCTCTGTGTGGTTTCTTTTTCCTATAGCCCAAGACACTCATTTGGAACTGGGTTGTGTGTCCGCCAATATCGCTATAAACCTTATTAGGTAATTGATTATTACTTTTTGGATATTGGTGCTTCATGAATTTAATGATTAGGCACAACAGATAGTCAATAATTTTTTACTAAGTGGTCCCCTATTATCCCACATGTCCACAGGTGTGTAAATGGATGTGTTACACAGATCTTTTAGATTTGAATATCGGCATCTGGAGGCACACATTTTTGGTAAGGATCCTGCACTACTCTACGATATTGTCTTGCCAATGTATCAGATCCAGCTTTAGATTTATAGTCATTTTGATTTTGACTTTTTAAAGTACGGCTTCCTGTTTTTATCAATGATATTAGGTGGGGGGAGTTTCGTAAAAAATGAATAGAGTGTTTCTGTACAAAATTGTTATTTTAAAAGATTAGTACCACACCTTGAAATCCACTAATGTGAAAAATGTTGGAAGTTTAAAGTGAATTCAAAGAAAATCTCAAATTGTATCCTCAGTATCAAGATTAATATTGGGGTGGATGTAAGACAGCTCAAGTCAAGTTAAATTGTTAACTTTTATCCCGTAAAAGGTTACTCGTTAATGAGTACAAGCAGACCTGAAGCAACTTTTTAAAGTAGATTATCTCAAAAGGTCATTAATAAGACATATATTAAGGGGATAAACCACAGCTATCATATGAAAGAGAAAATAAGTCTAACACAACTGTCTAGCACTATTTAATATATTTATCAACTGAATCACAGTAGGACACAGCAACTGAAAATTAAAAAATAAAATTTAAAAAATAAAAATACCAGTTGAATCTACTTTTTGGCAAAGCATGAAATCTTGCAAACTCAAAGCAGTTACGATACTGTGTATCCAGCTCATAGGAATACATGCTGTGTGTTAAAATCCTCCACTGCAGGGAGGGCAGGCTCTGATTCAATTTCTTTCTAATTGTAACAATGCTGTAAAATAAACAGGAGAAAGAAATTATTTGGCATAGAAAATGTTGTTCATAGCACAGAAAATCAAGGAAATGAATACCATGGGGCTGTGTGAACCCTGATAAAGGTTACCAATAACTGTACCAGGAGACCAAGCATGGGGTCACTCTAGTGTCTATTAATTATAGGTTTACCAGCTGAGCCAGTGGTTGACAGCAAAGATGCAGCAAATTATAATATTGATCAAAATCTTAGATATTTGAAAGAGGCATGAGATGTACAGTGACATCTAATATAATGCATGGTATCCATTACGCATACGGTGCTGGAGCTCAGTATTAAACCTTGATCAACTAAATAAATGGGCTGAAGAAACATTATTTAACCCTTTCCTAACAAGGGTTAAGCAAATCACTTGATTCTATGACAATCCGTGCAAGTTCTTTTTTTCTAACACACTCCCTCCCCATACACAACATTTGAACTGATATTGACACCAACTTCAGTCCAGGAGCTAGGTTTTCTGTTGTATGTTGTGCAATTTGACAATAGAAACAATATTGTGAATCGACCCTATATAATCGAAGCCATTTAAAGCAGCACTGTCATGGTTGAATCAGTTTTTGTTTGTTTTTTTAACTCCCCCCTTCCAACTCCATTGCATTTTATAGTGCACCCAAAAACCCCTAGTCCTCCCAATTTACTTTTTTAATAACTTTATTTTATGCCCGGACTTAGGTCCTGTGCGCCGCTATCTTTGTGTGGGGGATGAAGTCTCTGGGGAACGTCATCTGGCCATATGAGGGAGATTAAAATCTCCTGAATGCCCCTACTCACTATACCGTGAGTAGGGGCATGATTACTAGGTCCCCCATTAATTGATTTGGGGGGGGTGTGGGGAGCTTATTTTTAGGCTGCTCACTGTTTAGTAGACATTCCCCTACTCGTGGTATAGCGAGTAGGGGCATTCGGGAGATATAAAACTCCCATTTTTCACTAATACTACCCTTAATCAGGTTTCTGAAAGTTTGTATTGATTTTAAAATGATTGGTAGCATGGACTGGTGTGTATATAAGACACAGGACAGTGGGAGGAAGCATCAGCAGTTTGACAAAGCCCTGTTGGTGGGGCAAAATGCATTACGGACCCGGAACCAGGAAGTGATTTGGAGACAGTCGGCAACAGCAGCCAGGACAGCAGCCGGAGGATTTTTCACATTGCATGAGTATATGGAACTTTCTTTGCGGTTTCCTGAGGCTGGTGAGCGGACTAACTACCTCCACAACAAGTTTTGCTGTTTTTAAATTGCTATTAATAAAGTATACTTACCTGAGATCCAGATTGCAAGCTTCTTTTCCACGTATCCCACGCACTCTAGGGGCTGATCCTCCCTGAGTGCTATAGCAACGAGTGGTGCTTTTACCACTCCAGTCTTGTGAGTGTAATACCTTAAGGGCACCTCTGTTTGCTTTATTTTATATATATATATAAGTGAATTACTATGCTGCACTATGAGCTCTCTTTCTGTTTTTGTCTCCTTAATAGGTGTCAGAGTGATTTCCATGTTTGCAAATATACCTACAGATTGTGCTTTGTTTTACCACAACCACTGTTTGTGTTTCAATTACTAATAATATTTCCACTCTGTATACACCTCATTTCATGTACACAGGGGTACTTTCACTCTCTATAAGAGGTCCATAGTGAATATGATTTTTGTTGTTGCGCACCATCACTACTGTAAGTTATTTTATGTTCAAATCGTTTTGCCAGGATTTGTTTTTGTTGGTTGCTGCATGTACTAAGATCCTTCTCCCATTTGCACCATCCTATTTATAATCGTTTTTTCTTTATACACCAAACCAGTTCACTAAACCAGTTCATCTAATATGCGAGAGGCATAATTTTATGTTCAATAATAGTCCAAATAAACTAAGAACACTGCTTTTCTTTCAATAAACCTGGAATAATGGAGAATTTTCCAGTATACCTGAAGATCCTTTAAAATGTTGACATATCTCTGTACCACAAACATACACTTGCAAACCCAGATTAATAAAGTGTCTTAAGTCAATAAGCAGTATTTACTAACTTAACCATAGTTCACCAGACTGAGTCCTTAGAAACAGGTTGGATACACATAGTGTTTTTAATTAAACATAGTTTCCTGTGGCTTCACACATTTACAGACACTGTGTATGCTGTCACCCTATGTCACTTGAGATGCCCTCTAGATCATCACAGAGCTCCTCCCTACCCATATTCTGCGCACATAATCTGTTAATTATAGTCACAGTAATTCTTAATTAGATGATGCTAGAGAAATCTTAATTTATCACTTAGACTACTGGCAGTATGATGTATGTAACACATAGATTTCCTGAAACAATAATGTTTTTTTTTTTTTTTCTCTGTGAGAATGAAACAAATGGCACAATATTCTGTGAGCTTTGAATGGAATCAAAACAGTTCACAGAACAGTTTTTTGCCACAATGCAGTCTTCTTGGATTCCTGGACTATTTAAATCAGTAAAATTTGTTGCAAACCCATAGATTCACAGATGTGCCAACTAGTACATCCACGTCCAGCTGTGTCACCTGTTCACAGCAGAGAAAAACACACGAGAGTTACAATATGATTATTTCTATTTGTGTACATCATATATAGCAGTAAATATGTCTTGCATTGCAGTGAATATTCACAATATTAAAGTGGAACTGTCATTTCCCAAGAAAGCAACACTGATCCCTTAATGTCAACCGTGTTGAGCAGTGTCTTCACACAGTAGTGTCTGACATAACACTATAGACATTATTTTTTATTGTGTTGATTAGATTATGTCATTAACCTACAAACACTGCCTATTGTGACACTATACCTAGGCATCTGTATCAATGCATTTTCATGTTTCCCTAGTTTTTAAAATACTCACCTCCCTGCTGCTGCCTTTGGCAGGAGTAGTTAATCCTCATAGAGCCTATTATTAAATGCCAAGGGCATCCTTTTTTCTCTAAGCACAGTTAAACCCTCTTGATAGCTACTTTATCTTACATGAATCTCTATTAATTGGGTTCTGTTTGTTAATTGCAGGAACTTGGGTTATACGTGTACAAAATGGGTTTCTTTTCGATGCATATAATTTATTTTCTTTTTAGTTTCCTTTCACTGGCATGATGTTTTTTATGTGCTGTATTGTATATTTTATATATATAATATATGTATTAAATAAATAAACATACATCATTTTATTAATATTGCAGAAAGTCAAGTCCAGACCAAACCAGTGCCATCTTAACAGCATTATGGGCCCCCGGGCAAAGGAGTGCACTGGGCCCTGCCTACACAACAACTAACAGGGATAAAAATGTAAATTATCGCTAAAATTAATCTTATATTAGCACATTCTCACACACAGACTGCTGAACACATTCTCACAAACAGACTGCTGAATACACACACAGACTGCTGAGTATACAAAGACAGACTGCTAAATACATACACAGTCTGCTGAATACACACACACAAAAGAGGTGCTGTGTGTGTGAGGGGTGCTGTGTGTGTGTGGGGGGGTGCGGTGTGTGTGTGTGTGTGAGGGGTGTTGTGTGTGTGTGTGAGAGAGGTGTTGTCTGTGTGTGAGTGAGAGGTGCGGTGTGTGTTCTGTGAGTGTGTGTTGGGGTGCTGTATGTAAGTGGTGTGGGTGAGAGAGATGTGCTGTATGTGAGAGGTGGTGTGTGTGTGTGTTTGTTAGGGGTGCGTGGTGTGTGAGGGCACTGTGTGTGGGGGGTGGGGGGTTAGTGGTGTGTGAGGGATGCATGGAGCAAATATTTTATTCTTGTTGTGTTTTTTCATCGCAGTGGGGCCCCCATGCTTGTGCACAGCATACGCATGGGGAAAGACGGCCCTGGGCCAAGCCAGCAGTTATGGGTGTTATATTAGGATGGTCTGTATTGTATAACTTACAAAAAATATTAAATATAAAAAACATACATTTTATATGTTACATAAAGCCAAGTCCAGGACAAGCCAGCCACCATGCTTGGCTTTACCTCAATGTTTAGATGACATTCAAGTTAAAGCTGGATGGCCATATATTTATGTATACAGGATTGTTTACATAAAATCTGACTATATATTTATTAATGTACTATACAGACACATTAACACCTTAGTGACCAGACCGTTTTTCAATTTTCTTACTCATGTAATGTACCCACACATATTATCTTTCTAAAGATACAATTTTTTCATCATATAATTTACTTTTAAAAAATTATAAAATATGATGAAAAAAACACACTTTTTCTAACTTTGACCCCCAAAACCTGTTATGCATCTACAACCGCCAAAAAACACCCATGCTAAATAGTTTCTAAATTTTGTCCTGAGTTTAGAAATAGCCAATGTTAACATGTTCTTAGCTTCTTTTTTTTTTTGCAAGTTATAGGGGAATAAGTACAAGTAGCACAATACATTTTTATTTCAAAATTAATGAATGTTACATTGAAACCCTGATATCTGTCAAGAATCCCAGAATAACCCTTCACATGTATATATTTTTTAAAAGACGACAATCTAAGGTATTATACTTGAGGTATTTTGACTCTTTTCATGGAACCATTTTACCATCACTCTATGCCAAATTTAGAAAAAAAAATAGTTGGTGATTTTTTTTTTTTTTTTTACACAGATAGCAATTTAATTAATACATCTACTGAGAACTTTTAGGGTCACTGCCAAAGAGCACCCCAATATGTGTACAGCAACATCTCCTGAGTACAGTGATACCACCTATGCATAGGTTTGTTGGGTTGTTTGGGGAATGCAATGCCAAACTTCTGACGTGTTTTTCAACTATGACATATCTTCTTTGCCTATTTATTTATTTATTTGGGGGGGCTTTTTACATATCCCAATTTATTTTCTTGCCATGAGCGTGCATATATTTGAAAAGTTGACACCCCAAGGTATTGTATATGGAGTGTTTTGATGCAACCATTTTAGCCAAAAAAAATGGAGAAAATGTGTGGTGGTAATCTTTAAATTTTAATTTTTACACACACATTTGTGTGTGATTTAGGGGAGCCTGTTGTTGGTTATTGCAATAAAACATTCCAGGTTGTTTTCTGCAAGGCCTCCTGAGTACACTCATGCTCCCATGCATCGTTGAACTTGATCATAAAAATAGTTTGGCGTGGTAAAAGTAAAAAACAAACAAACTCAGGAAGCCCCATGATGCACTGCCTTTAGAAAGGCAGGGCCATACTGGATGCCACATGGCTGGGGGGAGGGGGGAGATTAATACGTTTATTTTATTTGGTTTTTTAAATTGATTTTATTTAAGTCTTCACTGAGTGCCTCGACCCCTCGAGGGACTCCTCGGAGGCCCGTCAGTTAGGAGAGGTATTGCAGGATGCCTCGACATCGAGGCATTGCTACAATACCCTTAGAGATGCTGGAAGCAATCACGCTGTGGTACGGACTTTTTTTTGTCAGACGTAACTAGTATGTCCACAGTCCTTAAGGGGTTAAAAATCACTGCCATATATGGGATATATTATATATATATATATATATATATATATATATGAGAGAGTATAGGATTAATCTCTTCCCATCCCTTGTCATGTAAAAGCTTATGAGATAAGTAGTCTATCATCTCAAATTAGTTTTATCCAGGAGTGGCTTGTCCATTATGATATTCAGGGCAGTGCTCCATCAGCTAATTGTTATCGCATAAAAATAAATCTATCGCCATTATGAAATGAACTACTGACATTGTTTCCCCTTGGTAAAAGGGATAACTTGCAAATTGCCCTTATATAGTACAGCATTGCTATAGTTTTCCATCCCCTTGCCCCACTACAGCACAGGCTGACTCACTAGTAACAAAGTATGGCTATCTGAATAAGCCGTGGAGAGCAGCTGGGTATGTGTAGGTTGTTTGTAAAATCTGTCCAGTCTGAGTGCCTCTTTGACATGCTCATTATACTTCTAGAGGTGGTTTCTGAAATGACTCATTTAATTTCCAGCAGGGTGTTGCACATTACCGCTTAGGCTAGAGGTGGAGAACTAAGCTTGTAATGCAAAGGTTGCAAGTCTGGCTCTATAGGTTCTAATTAACACAAATGATGACTGTAACCGCTCAGTAAAATAATAGCAGCTATATAATGAATAGTCTTTAGCTGAGCTCCATGGCAGGGAAGGCATAAGAGAGCCTTCTCTATTGGTCACGCTGCATGCAGATGCTGCACAAAAAATGGTGTTTAAATTTATATTGGCAATCAGGAACTATATGTTTTAGATTGCCTGATTTGATACAATAATTACAAATAAATGCTGCCATAACTAAAACTGAACTCTCTCCAACATTAGTTTTTTTGCTCCGAGTGCAAGCACCATAAAGTCTTGATGTAGTGTCCATTTAAACTTGCTTCTCTCTGTAGAACTCAAAAATTCAACAGTGTGCTACAATAACCCCTACCCAAGCATTTCACCTCTTTATTTCCTTACTGTTCTTATCCTCAAGGTTCAGTACTTAGAACCTCATTTCCTCCTTAATTTAAAATGGGTTAACTTCTTCTGATGCATTGATTCTGTTCCAATATTGTCCTAAACGGGTGTATTATTGAAGCAATCACAGTTTTCCGTTCTTGTCCTTTTATGACTAATTTTAGTTTGTACCCTAATTTGCATTCTTGGCTCTTTTACCTTTTCTTTCACTGCAATGTTACATAACACTGCAATAGTTTAGTACTACAATGTTGAGCCCTCAATTAAAAACATTGAAAAAATATTTTAAAAAATACTGTATTTATCTCCTTCTCTAGAGAGCTGTTTTCTGCACTCCTACAGCTGCAAACAACAATTCCCACTATGTCAGACAGCAAGCTAAGCATCATGAGAAGTGTAGACCACAGCAGTTGGAGTATCTTACGGTGCTTATACCTCATCTAACTCATAGCTAAAAGATTCCTAATCATAGGTTAATTCAATCAATTTATCACAAACCAATAATATTGTAAAAATATATATTTTTGTTTAGTTTCTTTTTTACTTTAGAAAATAGTGATGCAAGGTAATAATCACGAATAACCTAAAGCAAAATAATAACAGTATTACGTATATATATATATATATATATATATATATATATATATATATATATATACACATACATACTGTGTATGTGAATAGCAGTTATTGAATATATATTCTTATAGATACATATTTTCTGCAGAGATCGTGTGGCTGAATGACCTTAAATGCTATTTTGGTGAATGTCCTGGTTTATTGCAATTCGCAAACACTGAAGATGCTGGAAATTCTTAAGAGCTCTATAGCTAGCCATTATCTGAATTGCTAACACATGTAGGTCATAGTTTTCTGAAAAAGCCACTTTACATGCTGGAAAAACAACTAAAAATAATTTGATTCTGGGACATTTAGTATTTTATTAGCATAATGCCACCGGGAACATTCATGATTAAAACATACTTGCTGTAATTTCAGTGATAACTCATGTGTGCGGATGCATTATCGTTCGAATCCTTGGATAAAGTAAGCTTTTATAATGGTTGTTACATCATGCCCTTTGCAATTTATTCACCTATTTATGCATTACCTTGTCTGGTAATCATACCATTACTGATTCTGTACACATGACAACCCAGGACTAAAATGTAGCTCAACAGACAAATAGACAGAATGAACAATTTGAATCACATCCATCCTGAACACATAGGTTTTATTTTTTATTTTTCTTTGTCTCTCTCTTGTGCATATTGAAAGTGATTCCCTTTAAAACTTTTTTATTTATAACTATAATGCACTTTGTGTGAATGAAGATATATAACAAGAAAGACACAAAATGGAAAAAAATAATAATTAAGAGTTGCTTTACATACGTAATATCTTAATTTCATGATCTATAAAGCAGATAAATAAAAGATCCGTCTTACCTGCATTGTCATTTAAAAACAGGCATGGTGGGGCATTTAGTTAGAGCCATAATCAACATTGCACAGCACCATTAATCTTCCTTCTTGTTTGGCTGTCCGAGTTGGGTGTGTTCGTATGTGTCTGTATATTGGGTTCTGCTGCCACCTTCAGGATCGTAACAAAATATTCTTCATAGTATTTTTTTATTATGTCTTTTTTGTTTTTGTTTTCAACAGGTAGAGATGAGTACATTTGGGTTTGTTCATTAATGAAATCAGAACGCTGGGTCATTTTGTCCTTTGAACAGCTGCAAATAATTAGCCTATGAGCAAATACCTCCAGGGACAATATGTCTCATAGTCCTTGGGGAAGCTCCAGGTTCTTTGACACCTGGAGTTTTAAACCTACCATCAGCCCAAAACCTAAAGGTATGCAAATTGGCCCATACAGTGCTGGGCTTGGTCAATTCTGCTAACTCCATTGTCTTTGCAGTATTATATTTAATCAGTAGAAGGATAGCTGTGAGACAGTGAGAGGGTTTAATTCTGTTAAGATGAATCATAAACTGACAACCTTATACATTGCAAGGATGTCACACAGCCAAGTTTTGCACATTTTTTTTTAATTTAATCACAGTCACTTTTATTTAAGTTGAGCACTTGATCCTGGATGGGGGATTTTCCTTACTAATAGGCTGATAGTATGATGATGTTTTAGGTTCAGACAGCGAGGCATTTACCTAGCAGAGTGGTCTAGTGAGTCAGGAAGAGAGATCCTTCCTCATCAAGCCTTTGGACTAACAAAATAGTGGGATTACCACTTAGTAGAGGTCAGATGCTGGGAGGTGATTTTGACTACTTAGCATACCTACCCCTAGATGGCTTACTAAGGGCAAATTTTGTTTTCTGTTTCTATTTTTTGTAAGACTCAGTCACTGATTAGCTAGGTGGTTTCATAGTATCAACCTTTTGCCTTGCATATTTGTCTGCCTCATTAGTTTGAAGTGGGCTTCTTAGTTACTACTATATAGTGTCCAGTCAACATTGTGATACAGAGTATGTTATTTGGAACTATGATACTGTACCCAGTTGACTTAATGGGACATTATTAAGGAGTTTGTTGTCTATTACAATTCCTAACTTTTTCTTGAGACCCACCCTCTCATTTATATGTATATACATTGTTTTTTCAGCCTATATTAGGACATATTGAAGCTGATAGAGCTCCCCCCTAGGAAGCTATTTTCTTTTTTTTTGTGTGTGTGTTTGTTTATTTAGAGTGATTTTTCCTACTTTAATTCCCGTCAATGTATTATTTTTCTTGTAAGTTGGAACCTAATAAAGAATGGATTTTAATTTTATCTAGACTCTGAGGTATCCCTCCTGTGCTCTATGGACATCTGTCCTCTGATCACACTCTTTACTGTTTCTTAGGCTCTATATTTTCTAAAATGGTTGGTCCATGCACCATAACCACTGTACTACAATATAACAGTTTTGGTGCCATCAGACTTCAGGTACCTTACACTGTTTTGTTTTGTTTTCCATTTTCAAAACATAGGCTCATCTAGGCATAATGTTGCATCTCCTTCTAGCTGCAATTCCTAATGTGTAAGGTCCTAGAACTCCAGTGGAACAATGCAGTCATGCAATATTCGCATCATACACATGCATGGAGTGCAGATTCGTCAAAGCTTTGATGGAGAGGGAGTGGATGATTAGCTTGGGTAAGATTGGAGTGACTTTAAGAGTTCCATGTATCAATCAAACAATTGCAATAGATTGCAGTGTATACATTTATTCATTAAAAAATAAACTTATTATTTCAAGTTCATTGTGCATCACCATTTATGAGTTTTTGAACCATATTTCCTAAGTTCACTTTACATGAGGCAATGCTTTGAAGAACAACATCATCCTAAAACAGTCACTTCATCCATCACCACAATGAATAACCCCCATCAACAAATCCCACTCTTCAAAAAGATTCACTCAAAAGTAGCAAATGTATTATATATTTCAATATGTACTTCCAGAAATCATTAAGGAAATGTTAAGCAAAAAGTTCACTAACACACATTTAAAAAAATAAATAAATAAAGACATAACCAGGATAGTTCACTGTTGCTGTGCTGTTTTATATTCCAAATATAGATAAAGAGTGTTATTTAATTATTTTGTTAATTACTATATTCAACAAATAGGCTGTGTTGTTTCTTACATTTCCATTCAAGATTCAGCTAGAAAAAAAAAGTCATTTGATGTTTGCCCATGTTTGAAATGTACGTGTAAACAGCGATTCTATGCAAAGGTTGTAGAAATGAAGCATCCATCAAAAACAGATTTCTTGTTTTCCATAGAGATCTCTTCATTTTTAACATCATTACCCCAAAATAGTTCTTTGTGAATAACAAAAATGGGAAAATTTCAAAATGTTCCTATGTCTAATTTACTGGGAGTTCACAGAGCAATCTCCAAGTCGGATGTGAATTGTTCAATTAAAAAAACTAAAACGAAAGCTGCCGTCGTACTTAGTGGAAATTTATTGGACTACAAAGGGTTAATATACAGGGTTATTCACCAGAGGGAAAAGTCAAAGTAAATTTCAAATTTAAGGCCAGAGTAGCTGACTTAGAGAATTTTTTCCAGTTTGGCTATTTTGATCTATTTAAAATTCCTCTTGAATTCTCACATAACTCCTTTTGAAATAAATCATGTAAGATTGTTGTATTGCTTAAATCTTTCTATTTCTGAAAGGCTTATTGTAGATGAGCCAAATGGAGCAAATGAACAAAAACAAAGAACATGGCGATTAGAATGTTTGGGTCAGAGTGATACAGACAGTGCGGTTTTGTATTGTTCAATAAAATGTCAAAATCTTTGTGTCAATCTCTGCAAACTGTACGTTCAGTTCCCTCTCTATGTCTGTGCTGACACAGGGATGGGCTACATGCTCCTGACTTGCCTTTCAATGTATTCCCAGATATAGTTCATTGCTTTAGTAGACACTGATTAACTGAAAAGTTCATATTTGCATATAAAAGAGTTATGAAATATTGTATGAGACATGTTCTATTTTTCCAGTGATAAATGTGTTTCTCAATTGCACAATAACATGTAAAATGATGAGCAGATACTTTTTTTCCTAAATAACCCTTTCCCTTAAGGGACCTGAAACAGGCAAAACTACGTAAAAATGATACATAATTGAAAAGCAATATGCTGAACACTGCATTTGAGAGAAAAGTGCTTCCACCATAGGCTCGGAGTTTGGCCTGCTATAGAATGCTGATTGATTTTTTATGTGCTAGCAGAACCCTACCTTGAAACATCAAGGGACATTTCAACCTCATATGAGCTAGGAAATTACACTCTCTACAATCTCCTTTGAGTTTCTGCAGATGTATAAATAGTAAGAAGGTAGAGGTCACATGCTTACGCCGGTTTTATGATTAAAAAAAAAGACACAAGTAAATAAAGTTCAGGCTTACCGAGAATTACTTCTTTATTGATTTTAGAAAAAATAAAAAAATTAAACCTTTACCAGATTGCGAGTTTCCTCTGTGACCCATCTTACAGCCACTGCTGATCACCACCCCGACACACTGATAATTTCAATATTGCAACCCTTACAGACTACTGCCGGCACCCTGGGAATCAGTACTCATTCATTGTATTCAACAAATTGAAATGTTTGAAGAGATTTTTGGAACAACAAAAAAAAATTATTCAGTGGTCGAATTTTCATAGAAGCAAAGGTTGCCCATTAAAGGACCACTCCAAACGCCTTTGCTGAAGTGCTTTTAGTGTGAATAGTGTATCCATTTTGTCATTAAACAAAAAGTGTAGATTTCAATAGCAAGTCACTTTTATAAATAAACCATGTTACACCCCGTGGCTAAAGTACAGCACAGATGTGGACTCCATTCTCATAATAAGAAAATATATAGAAAAAAAGGGGCAGCTCCAGAGTCTCTGTTCCTTATAGAAGTGCTGTATTTCCATTTTGAAAAAAATATATATATGTTGAGAGACTGCTAAACTCAGAGGCCACTGCTATCTTCCCAAAATCTGTCTTTTCCACTGCTGGATCCGTAGTCCATCAAAAAGGGGAACAAGAATCACAAAGTTTAAAATGTATTGATGCAGATTGCAAAAAATAAGACACCACACTAACACTTGACATGTTTCATGCATGAAGTACTTGATCATAACTCCATATTTTTTCCAGGACATGACGCCCCTTGAAAAGATAATGGTTGATGTCAGAAATCCTGGAAATAGGCATGTTAATTTTAGACGTGATTAGTTGCTCAGCCTTTCAGCAGCATGTCCAGCGATCAATAAAGTAAGACATGTAATTACGACAGACACAATGTCATTTTCTAACAGAAATATATCATTACTTCTTACCAAGATAATACATTCAATTTTTTGACCAAATTGATGACATACACATAATTTGCAGGGGATTCACTTTAAAAGGACACTATAGTCACCAAACCACCTTTAGCTTAATGAAGCAGTTTTGGGTGTATAGATCATGAACCTGTACTCTCACTGCTCAATTATGTGCCATTTAGGAGTTAAAGGGACACTCCAGGCACCCAGACCACTTCTGCCCATTGGAGTGGTCTGGGTGCCAACTCCAATCACCCTTAACCCTGCAAGTGTAATTATTGCAGTTTTTATAAACTGCAATAATTACCTTGCAGGGTTAAGTCCTAATCCTGTGGCTGTCTATTAGACAGGTTTGTTTTCCTGGCACTGGAGAGTCCCTTTAAATCTGTGTGTTTATACTGCCGTACTCAAACCTCCCTGCATGTGACTAGCTTTCCTAAACACTTCCTTTAGAGAGTCATCTAATGTTTACACTTCCTTTATTGCAAATACTGTGTGTGATTAAAGTTCAATTTACAGAGCAGGAGATAAACACTTTTAAAGAAAATTAAATTTGATTGAAAGTGAAACCATGTTTTTTCATGCAGGCTGTGTGAGTCATAGCCAGGGTAGGTGTGGCAAGGGCTGCATAAACAGAAACAAAAGTGATTTAATTTATAAATTGCAGAGAATTGAGCCGTGAAACTTGAGAAACATG